TTGGAAGTTGGTCTCATCGGCAGCATTATGGATGACTTTCCAGATTTTTATGTCGTCCGCAAACATGGCACAATCACAGTCCAACCCATCTACACAATCATTGATGAACAAGAGAAAGAGGGTCGGTCCTAGCACCGAGCCTTGTGGGACCGCACTCTCTGTGAATGTGCACCTTGATAGCTGTTGTTCTACGCAGACAATTTGGGAGCGGCCGACAAGGAAATTTTCGATCCATTTGAGAAGTTTGCCACCGATGCACATAATTCTCAACTTGTGTAGGAGACGCTGGTGCGGAACACTGTCAAACGCCTTCCGAAAATCAATATAGGCATCATGCACGGTGTGTTTTGCGTCCAGTGCTCGTGATCAACTTTGCATTATGTATAGCAAGTTCGTAACACATGATTTTCCCCTACGGAAACCATATTGTGCATTGGACAAGAGGTTTTGGGTTTTCAAGTAAGCCATGAACTCCTTTTTTATGGTTTTCTCCATCACTTTGCAGCAGATTGATGTCAGACTGACGGGTCTGTAGTTTGTCGTCAGGGCACGACTACCGCTTTTGTAAAGGGGTGTAATGTGGGCCGTCTTCCAGTCTGTGGGAAGGATTCCAGCATCAAACGATTTCTGGCACAGAAAGGATAATGGCTTGGCCAGCTGTTGGGCAAGTTTAAAGAGCAGCTTTGCTGGGATCTCGTCCGGACCGGCAGATATACATTCCTTAAAGCTTTTCAGTTCTTCCAAAATCGCTTATTCTCGAAACATACAATTTTCGATAGTGGGATCTCTCTCTCTACTTCTCTTGTGAAAACGGATCGGAAAAATTGAGAAAAGTGCTCAGCCTTATTTTTACTGTCCGATATCTCCAAGCCGTCATCACCCCTCATAACAGGAATGGGATTCCTGTTACGTGTGCCTTTCCGCAAATAGCTGTAGAGCAATTTCGGATTTTTAACGGCTTGGTGGAGCAAAGTACTCTCAAAATCCCGTCGCCTCCTGAAAATCAGACTTTTTGCCATATTTCTTTGAATTTTGTATTCTGTAAACGCTGCATTGTTGTTGTTCTCGCGAAATTTCTTCCATAACCTTCCTTTCTTGTTGATTTCCCTTTTGAGTTTCGTGTTAGCCACTGAGGGCGGTTGGATGTCCTAAGCTTTGATAAGGGGCAGTGGTTCTTCATTAGATGCAGTAAACGATCCTTGAATAAATTCCAGTTTTCGTTAACGTTTCCGGAGAAGAGAACATCCCAGTCAATTTGTGATGCCTCAGCTCTCATTTGGCGAAAGTCCCCTTTCCATATATTTGACCTCGTATTGTCTTTTGTACACATTTTGTACTCACATTTTCGATTTTTCACTCTAAACTCTCTTCTACACCTCAACATTTCTGCGCTATTGTTTAAATTGACTAAAATACACACATTTGGTTTCGGCTTGTGAAAAAGCGTGACTTTTGTGTCCGTCTGCTGCTTGGTGTCATTGTTTCGTTGATTGCACTCATTTGCGTCAATCGTTTTTTGTCAATCGGCACGAAACTCTTATATCTTTTGTCCATATCTAACTGGAAGTAATTTTATCTGAGCGACAAGCCTAATTCACTGACTTCATCTCGGATTTTACCAAGCACATTCACCCTACGGCCAACGCTTGTGGAGAAGGCTTTATTTATCGTGAGTCTGTACAATTATTTACATTTTGTCGTTTTTCTAATGCTCATTTTTCTATAGTTATTTTTCTTGTAAGAAACGCAGCATCCCCCACTTAGAGTTAGATATTTATTATTGTTTGAAGTTTAATTGTCGTTTACACTACAGATGTGGCCTGAAGTTGTGGCGCACTTAGTACACACCATCACCGCTTAGCCGCTACACATATAATTCATATAATGCAACGTAGGCAGTAATGGTCTGCCTGAGATGGCAGGTAAGCGGTAAAACGTAAGAATTATGCGCTGTAAAGCAGGCAGATTTTTTCACGTCAGCCGGCGATTTGTCATTTAGCATATGATATTTTTGGTTATAATAATAATAATAATAATAATAATAATAATAATAATAATAATAACATCTACAGATCCCGCATTGCAAATTTTCAGAAAAAATGGCGAGCTACGAATGAAGCAGTAAAAAATTCCTCAACTATTAAAAAATACTCAGAAGAAGAAGACTACCTCGCGAAGGGATATGGGGCAGCAGGGAAGGATCCTCCTGAAGATAGGATGAAACTATAAATGCGAACCAAGAAGTGGGAACGAGGCGTCATTGCAGTGCGCTTGGGATACCAGATGATGGTAGACCCAGAGTAGGACTGACAGCTGAGGTGGGGCCTTAACACTCCACTGATTAAAATTAAGTCCTGATGAGGATCAGCAGCAGCGAAGCGGGGGTGGTTCGAAGCGTGCAAGTCAATATAACCTTCGATTAATTCTATGAGAGCTGGTTAGGGAGGACATCGCGTTCTGCGAAAGACAAGATGCGTAGACTAAAAAATCGAAAGTTTCGATGGGAGATTGTGGACAGCGAAAACGCACGCGGAGAGGGAAATACGAGGAGATAACGGGATTTGGCGGCGGCGTCGAAAATGCCCAATGGTCGTTTTTCAGTGTCACAGAGTAGGCCTAATTAGGTTGAAGGCCGGGCAAGCTGTCATATTGGGAGAATTACTAACCACACTTTTTACAAGCATAGACCAGGGCCGTCCAGTGGACATCATCTTCACTGACCTTAAGAAGGCGTTTGATAGCGTTCCCCATGGACTGATCCAGCTAAACTTGTTCCCCCCCCCTTCCCCCCTATCCTATAGACGAATGAGGTGTGACCTGTTATGGACATTCCGTATTATCCACGAGCATTAATGTTGGCTCAAAACTGAAGACTTCTTTGAATTCACGACCATGAGTCACATGCGCGGTCATCCGTACAAAGTTAAGCGGGAACGTACACCGTGTTCGACCGTGGAACTCGCTCCCAAGTGAAGTAGTGACATCTGCTACAATGGCTGTATTCAAAAGGCAGCTGGATCGTTTGATCATTGATAAACGACGACTTCCACTACAGGACTATCTGCGGCCAGCTATAAATTTCATTTCCTGATTTCATCCCTGTGTAACACATCCCTGACTTTTAATGACATTTTCCCTCTCAAACTATGCAAATGACTGCACTTTATGCTGATTGTATATAACTGCACTTAAAATTTCACGTGTGCGTTGAAAAGACTGTCTGCCGCACCCTTCGCAGTCCCACACCGTAAAAACGCTTTCCGTGGACAAATATATTACTGACAAAATGTTAGTAGGATGTAAATTTAACATTTATATTGTATTACCGTTTTCAATAGGGTCACCCAAGGCATTGCCTATTACCCTAAAATACACTATTATTATCATTATTTTAGGTGATGGTGTGACATCTCCCTTAATTTGAGAATTCGAGTTATCACCAGTCAAGGATTTACGTAGAGCAACATCTGGCTTCTTCGATTGTACTCCAAGGTCAGACTTGATTTGCCTGGCATGGAAAGAGAAAATGATTTCATTCTGTTTTTTGAACTAAATCACTATTCTGTACCAGTGAGGTTGATTGAGGCGCAAGGGTAAGCCAAGCTTTACGGCCAAATCAGTCGGACTTGTTAAAGTTAGGAACACCTTTTGAACGATTACCGTATTTTAAAGATTTTAGAAAATAGTAGGTTTCACTTAAATCAGGCATGAAGTGTGGAATTATTGCTGCAGGATCACCTCTGGCGGCCACGCAAACTGGGGCTTTTAACCTCTAGCAACGTAGGACAACGCACAACTGGTTTTGCTTCACTTTCTCTGTGACTTTGCGCATTGTGCTGATGTGGTTGACGAAACAGTAACCTGCACACAACTAAGTAGATTGATAAATGATGCTGGCCGCTAGTTAGCTGGAACGGTCTGGACTTTGACATAATGCGTAGGATAATAGCTAAGATGGACGAAGTTGCTTTAAGTCCGATCCTGAACTGGTTTATTCAAAAAACGACCTACAAGTCTGTAGTGTGAACAGCAGTTAAAACTACAAAGGAACAATTGATATAGGAAAACTTAACATTAATGGGTGACGTTGCGCTTCTTACATAAAAGCGACAGAGTGAAAGTAGGAGAAAGGAGGCAAAGGGCTTCTTGCCATAAAGAATCACAAAAAAATGATTTCTCTCCAGTATCAGTTGATAAAGCGCGAATAATGGTCTGGGTAAAGTCTAGAAGGTTCCGAGCCAAAGTCGGTTAGTAGGGCTTATTACACGGTTAGAAGCGGCAAGATGCGACCGACGAATAAAGACTGATTGTAGCAGTTAAGTAAGGAGGATCGAGCCACATGCGCCTAGTCAATGAAGCAACGACACTGTGCAGCATGCGAACACAAAGCACGCGCTGTAGCAAGTAGAAACATATTGTTGTGGGCATTATAGCATGCTCAAACAACAGTATGACAAAGCTTGGGTATGCAAAAAGCAATAGAGAAAGGCCAAAAAATTATACAGATCTACAGGTTCTTCGACTCTTCTTGGTTGCAGTATTGAGTTTTTATCAGAAAAACGATCCTAGGAACCGATCACTCCTCCAGTCATATGTTTTCGCGAGGCGTTCCAGTCAGTCAGCCAGACAGTGTATATGAGCGAAGTAGGCTTGCGCCTTTGAACACCCTTGCTGTACATGAAAATCGAAAAAATTGGCAACAATGTGACGAAATCACAGCATCGAGTGAGTGTTGACATCGATTCAAATAGGTCACTGGTTTTATGGTTATCAAGTCGCATATGCCGCTTTTTGGAGTGCTTAAGTATCTGTTATATTTCTTAATTCGCTTATGGACACATTTAATAGTATTACAAAGTCTGTTATGTTTGGATAGCAGTGAGGTCTGGATGCTAGCCTTTGAGACCTAAGTGACACTGACCGTCTGACCAGTGTTTAGTATGACCTTGGGAATTGCAAAAGCGCCAGAATACTATTTCATTTAAGTCTCCGCCCGACCAATGCCGCTTCCGTCCGCGCAGACGTCGATTACCGTAAGTTTTCACTAAACATTTTGGAAATTGTAGCACGTTTGCATGCATAATCCTAAAGAGCAACGTGTCCCTTATTGTTGCGTCTGATTTTTTATTGTATCGACCGCTTTAACTGCTACCTCTTTCGAAAGCCACCGTCGCACACACTGTTGGCCAAAAATTGCATCCCCTACTAGACTGCGACTTGCCTTGCTTTTGGTTAATATACTTTAAAATAGACAAAAAACCGGAAGGGTGATCGAATCTATATTTCATATCCTATTAACCCACACCTCGGGCCCGTGCATAGTTATAACTATGTGCGTATATGCACACTGATAATAAGATGTGGGATTTGTTTTTGTCATGTTTCATCCACGACCCACACAGCAACAGTATATCGATTTCTATTCCTTTTGGCGATGCGTTGCGTAATGTGCTACGTCAGGAACTGATCTACTCTTCCACGCCTATGCTGTCGCACGAATGTAACCGGCGGTAACCATGTTCATTCGTCATCGGTATACCCGCCAAGACATTTACATGATCATTCCCATGTAATAACTTTTGTGATAGAAGTGTGCCCTAGGGGTGACAATTGCTGATTTTCTAGTAATTTTCTTTAAAGAACACGGCGATCGGATCGTTGTACCGTGTCCTAAGTACGCGTACCAAACGGTCGTACACATGTCTGCGCCTCCGCCCTCTCAGCAAATGCCTGTTCATTAGCCAAGTTGCTGACCATAATAAACTGGGACGCTGCACTGCACAACGTAGATTGATCAGGCACCCCGTGCACCCATTCAGTTGCCCGTGTCTTTCTTAAACGGACTAGTCTCATTCGATGGGAACGAAAACAACGCATAGGCGATAACAGCTAAAGGAGCGAAATATTATGAACTATGAACCAGCGCAACATAATTACCTGAGCTTAATTGACAATAGTTGTAAGGTCTACCTACCGATCGTCCAAACGTTTTAGTCAGAAATTTAGACACGGACAATCGTTGGAATTAATAATTTGTTAAATTTTACAGATTATAATTACTGCTAATTCCTGAGGCATATAGTGTAGTGGTTAGCACACCTGGTCTCACATCCGAAGGTCCGTGATCCTATCATCGGTGCAGCAATTAATAGACCTACTGCGGGTATAACTCAAGCACACAACTGACTTCCAGACGCTAGAACACCTACAACACAAATGATCCGAGTCCTATCAGCAGCGTCCCATTCCAGCTGTTTTGCCCTAGCTAAAGTGCTACGCAACAGAATTCATCCCTCTTAGCCACAAAATAGGAAATTGGAATCTTAAAGTGCGTATGAAAAGTTCACTTCTGTAATTTATGGACATTTTCATAGTTCCGTCCTAAATTCAACACCTTTCAAACACGGTTAGAGGACACGAAGTCCAGTGCCTGCAGTAATTACACTTGTCTCGGACGATTGTCCACTTCAGCAGTTCCACAGTTTTGGGATTCGAGTGGGATAAGGTCGGTGAATGTAGGTAACCACTCCACAAATCCGCCCTGGCAACTTTAGCAGCCGTCGGTATGGTGTAGAGGGGAAAAGACTCCTAGAATGGCCCTCCTGTGCCAAACTGTCAGGTAACTAAAATTGAGTCGAAGGTCAGCTAACCATCCACAATCATCCAAAGTCCCAGAAATTATTTTCTGTGGGTGTTCAGCAAGTTCTCCGACGCCCTTTTTGGGCGGACCCCAATCCCCAGGGATCTGCACCTCCGCCCTTTCATCTCTAAGTACAGTATATTGCCATGACTTCACAGAGATAATCAGCAGCGCTCCTGCTTTAACCTTTTATGTTTTCGAGTCGTACAACCCATCGGGATGCAGTGGCAGACCCAGTTGCCAACAGACGTGGCGCACATTGGGACCCCTGCCATCCCCTCCCCCCACTTTTGTCGATGGTTAATATCCTGGTCATTTGCTGTGTGCATCAGGGGGCGTGGAGTGGAACGCCAAGATGTAGGTTCGGCCGTGCCATCCGTCTGCGCCCTCCCCGCCTCCGGTCTTCTTGACTTTGTCTTGACACCGGGCCGAGGTGGGGAAGGAGGAGTGCAGTAGATGCTGTGCAAGTCTACTCCCACCATAAACTAACTCACGCACGAGTCACCGTGCGTACTCTCACCTCACTGTGAAGCACACGGTAGACATCGTCGGGTGCGACGGTCGAACTGTCGAAATTGGACTCCAGTGATGGAACAGGCTATTCCTTCATTTTGTAGGCGCTCATGTTTTGGCAGACGCTCCCATGCCTCATGAGCGTCTCGGGTGTCGCCAACTGTCTTCTAGCGTCACTCGAAGTTTGAGTTTCACACGGACCGGAGGTAGCCATCCTGCGCCATTCGATGAGACCGAAAGGCCCTCTGCCACCAAAAGGAACCTCTCGATTCGTTTGCCAGATAGAGGAAGGTTTCGGGCAGAATATCTGGGAGACTACTGTGGACACAGGTTGTCCAACACACAGTCAGAAGGAAGGACTTGTATTCTCAGGTCGAGGCTCACACGACAATACTTGACCACACTTTCAAATTTGCCGTGGCCGAAACTCACCCTAAAGCTGTCCGTCGCGAAAGTTGCATATTAATTGAATCACGTCTATCCGGAATGCAGTCCACCAATGGTTCCCCTCCTCATTTTCCACACTGCGATCACTTGAGTGGAGTAAGTAGTTATGCAGGGAACGAACAGGTGGACACTCATCAGCTTCAGTAATGACGTTCCATCACTTACCTGCTGCCGTCTCTGATATTCGGAAAATCCGGAATACCAGGTGAGTAGATTTCTTACGCCATCGACCGAGTCTCCTCGTCAATTGGTCTGTCACAATTGATTATTTTCGGGCCTTCCGCTTTTAAGCATATTACTTTCCCTCTCCGGGTCTCTGTTAAGTTATCGACTGAAAACCCGTTAAGGAAAGGAAGGTTGATATTCTATCCTACGACTACGCGCTGTATTGAGCCGCCCGGTTCGTGACTTGTCTGGATCCAGAATGGGCATGACTCCCAAGCCGACAACATGGCCAAGGTTTTCAGTGCATTCTGCTTTTAGCCAGCGGTCGTGTAGAGTCCACAAATTTCTTCCAACTTCATCGATGTCATTGTGCGCATTGCAGAAGCGCGCTCTTCAGACTACTTTCGTGACAATGGATTCTGGGATTCATCTGACTGACACCAAACTACCACTCCAAAACTCCTGCAAAACAGTTTGATTTTTAAATGTACATAGCCCCGAGGATTTCTGGATTGTTTGGGGGGTTGGAACGCAGTTTCGCTGAGTGGTTCCATGAAACGCCAATAGATGTCTTAAGCTGCTTTCCGACGGAAAACCTCGCTCGCATACGACTGTAATGGTACTTCACATTGGGCATAATCAGAAGCTTGCTTTCTATTTAGTGTCACCTCATCTTTTAGGTTAGCATATTTATTACCGCTCATACAAAGCCTATCGGGAAATATTGTTATTTAGGCAGTATGTACTCCTTTAACATGAGCATCAGTTAGCGGTGAAGAGACGCGACCATTTATCCCAGGTGGCCATGCACACACTTGACACTGGGCATAAATTCGCATGGGAGAACACTCGCATTGTTGGCGCCTGCCAATCAAGAAAAGGCCGCGAATTCCTGGAAGCAATGCACTCAGATGAGGCATGCATCAACCGGCATATCGATTTAGATGCCACATACAAAATCGTTAAGGAGAGATTCAAACCGAGTCGGCTAATCCCGAGATGACAATATTAACCAATCATTGACTCCTTTTGCTAGACTCAGGCTAAAAGTTAATTGTTTTTGCACACCCATTGTCTGAAGACGAGCTGGGGAACCAGTCTCGAAAATTCACAATAAAATTTTGCTGTTTCCCAAAGAACTTCATCTTTCTAATTATATTTCTTGGGATGCCTGTTTTTCAATTTATACGTATGAACTTCTTTAACTGTGTAGCTTATATTTAAAAAGGAAGAGGTGCACAAAAGTGTATTTCTTGTGGTCGTTGGGTGAGGAATTTCATCCTCCAAAAAAATCCCATCAAAAGGAAAGATCATGTGAACTTTAAACACCTAATTGCCGTTCGGGAAGCCACCAATAATTATAATGAAGGTGAACATTAATCAATCGTCGAAGACAATGTTGTTAGAAAGACTGTTAAGGCGCCTCCTGCACGCGTCCAGCTATATTTTGAATCCAGTGCACTGAATTGCGCTAATTGGGAGTCACGCCGCCAAGCGAAAATGTTTATCAGGTGACAGCTCGACCGTTGATTTCGACGATGTCCACCGTGTGCTACACAGCAAGGTGTAGCAGGCACGGTGACCTGCGCGCGAATTAGTTTGTAGTAATAGTAGGCTTGCGCAGCATCTACCTCTCTCTTCCCCACTGTGCATCTGGACCGGGAGTGTGGGACGCAGGTGGCTGGCACGACCGAATCCGCACCTAGGCGGGCAACCACACCCCCTGGTCCACAGCATACACTTGACCAGGATTTTTCACCAGCAACAACACTCCAACAGGGGTCAGAAGGACGAGGATAATGACTGGGCAGCCATGCCCACCACCTGTGTACCTAGCAGAGGTGCAATCGCATTTACCAGTAGGGAACCAGGTGTCAGAGAACTGCCAGCGCATGCCAGGCTGCGAGGGCCATGGTTTGCTGATACTGGCGCCGCACACGCTTTCATACCTTTTGACCTAGAAGGGCGACTCGTGGCCCTGCACTTAGTTTGGACCGTCACCCTTCAGGGGTGGGTAACCAAACAGCCGTCGAACGAGAGGCGCGCTACCCATAAAGTGCACATACAAACGCAAACACTCCTCCCATGCATGAGTGTCACAGATTGCTCGAGATGGGACCGTGATAGCCTGGCTCTCAGCCCACCGGTCCGCCACTACACACCAGCTATTTTCAAAACTCTGCGTCACTAGACCGTGTATAACGACCGAAGACTGAGGATAGCGCACGCAGGGCAATATAAACCACCTGGAATAGTCCTTGGCTTAGAACGATCTGAATAAAGTTATCAGGCAGCATGCGGGTACAAAAATATATGTAATAGGAACAGAAGTGAATTTACTACACAGAGTAGGGATTAATGGTTCAGGAAGGGATGAGTTGCATTAGGGAGATGATCAGCTAAACAACCAATGGGAGAGTGCAGCATTGTAAGGAAAATCAGGGAGGGGGGAGAAGCGTGGAAAGTGCTGAGGTACAGAGCGAGGAAGACGAGCGTTGCAGCGAATTTTATGGGAGGGGAGTCGGCACTTGTGAGGAAAAGGGCACCGGCTGTCTTCATCGACATGCGGTTACACCATCTCCATTCTGGGTCCGCGCCAAGAGTCTTCACTCAATTCATCTATTACTAACCAGGTCTATACAGTAATTTGCATCAAAGTAGGATAGCGAACGGTGAAAAACGATGAATGAGGTTGAGACTGTGTAGGCATCTCACTGTAACGCGACATGGTGGGATGCAGGGACTCGGATTGACCGGAGGGCCTGGATGAAGGTCTTCTGTGAGCATAGGGTTGAGTTGGCTAACCGTATGAACACGACCTCCGCCATCTCAAGTATCCGTCGAAGCAGACATCTGGTTTCTCCCTTGTCCTCTGTCACGTGTCATCCCTTACTCAGGGCAGCTTTAGCAAAAGCCTGTAGTGTTCTCCACTGTTTGTGTCTTGTTAGTCATGTTTGTGGATGCACCTGTGTCCTCGTTCTCGTCTTTATGCCTCTTGCATCCTTTTTGTTTTCTTTCAGACCGCTGATTTCCAAGAGAAGTTATCACGCCTGCCTAAACTGCCAGAAGTGAGGCTGTTTGTGCGGGCGGCCGTGTCTGAGCGCGACCGCATCGGTGCCTGTCTCATCTGTCAGCAATGGCTAATGGTCTTCCGAACCATGGTTGAAGCCAACCTTATCAAGTTGGAGGTGGTTCCCATCAGCTACGACTACGAACCAGATGACTACAAGTGTCTGCATGCCTCCAAACGCCTGCCTGCTGCCTTCCTACCCGACTTCCAGCTGGCCGCCTCCACTACAGACGAACTGGAAACCCTGTTGAGCAAGTTCCAGTACGATCGCATGAAGTTGCCGTTTGAAGAGGAGGCTGTTGGCGCGGCCTTGCGCTCCTTCATTGACGTCTACCTGACTATGGTCGGTTTTGTGCGTAACAACGCTGAGAGGCCTCTGCTGACGGCCCTGCAACAGCTGGAGGACTACCTGCAGAGTCATGGCACCCGCTACCTCCTGGGTGATGAACCCACCTTCGCGGACTGCATGCTGATGCCGAAGTTGCAGCACCTGCGTGTCATACTTCGCGCCTGCAAGCAGTGGGACATACCACTGGAATTTGTGAACGTTTGGAAGTATGTCAAGTCCATGTACGAGACACCTGTCTTCACGGTCTGCTGCCCCTGCGATCGGGACATACTGATGCACTATAAGGACAAGAAGGCTCTGAACATTCCCGAACACTTGCTGAAGCAGGCAGCAGACACTTATCTGCACGCCTGTCCGACCCAGTTGCCGGCCTAGAAATGCTCGTTTTTCTCTATCGCCCACCCTGTTAACAGTTTGTGAGCACGCATCCTTTTCCCGCTCTCCTTTCCCTCCCTCCCCCTCATTCTGCCCACTTTTCAGCAAACAGGGATTACGAATTCAACTCCTTTTGCAAATATTTACCCCCTCATCTTGACTTTGTAAACTTTTTGTACTGTGCAGAGTTTGAAACCCCCCTTATATATGGCCCGATCATAACACCTCAGCCTCACTTCAATTGTAAGGTAGATTGGGTTTCTGGGGCCTCCCGTTTCATCTATTTTATGTAAGAATCATCTGGCATTTGTCCTTATTCTGGTGGTTTCAATTATTTCCACGATGTGGCAGCTTCTATTAAGTCTGACTGTACAGGGTTTTACCGGCGAGTCTACGGGGTTTCCTGTTCAGAGTGTTAGGAGTGTACGCGTGATACCATGTGCGGTCAACAGCTGATTGAAAACTACTAACACCTTGTTTTCGCGGTACAACTCGCGGCAGCCCGACCATCTATTTCAAGCGGTCAGGAAACGTCTGCGTTGTCTGTCGTCAGGACCGGCGTTAATTTGTCTATGCTAAGTCCGATAGGAGTTGTGAATCGCTGATCAGGGTCGAACGAAGCCATCGTATTCATCTCCTCTGGTGAGTCTTACTAGCGAACTGCGACTGTTGGCGGACCCCGTGGCCTCACCTACTATGTGCTCTACTAGACAGGTTGGGTTCGAAAATCCTGACCGCACTGGGTTGCGTCGGATTCGCTCTCCTTGAGCGCGCCGCCCTGTCATAACCGACTTCCGGACCTCCGTCTCCAGCATACCCTTCGGAAGTGCCGGCACCGCCACCAACTACATGCACCCGACACGCAGCAGTGAGGCAGTCATGCTTCCGTTAGGCTGCAACACTCTTGGCCGTACCTAGTACTCCTTTTTTTTCAGCCACACCTCGTAGATGTTGACGATAGTGTCGAGACGCGTCCCTCGTCACGTCTGAAGGCAGCAGATGAGGAAGAGTGGGGACTCGTTGGACACTGCGGCTAAGTGTTTACTCGTCACATAGAAGGTTGTTTTCATAAAACCAATTACCAGCGTTGTCAGTCAACAACCGCCTTTTAGGACTACGCGGGTTAGATATGTCGATTAGTTGCATCCTCGTAGGTGTTTCGACGTTCAATCATCACTCGGCTCGTTTCGTTTACGTTCTGGTCGATTGCCGCAGTTACGAACTCGAAGGCATGGGCAGAACGTTGGAGTGGTTTGGTCTGCCAGCTGCATGACTGGTTTGTGTCAGCGTATGCCTGACCGCAGCTCTCGTTTTGAAGGACAAGACACGGGGGACTGCATATCCCCGTAACCAGTTCGTGGATCGGCACCTGGTGATCCGGCAGCAAGTCTCTGTAATTAGGACTCGGCGTCTGAACGCACTAGTCCTAGATGTAGTGGGAGGATTTCGCTCGGTATACTCACTGAGTCAATGATAAGCAGGTGCTTGAAGGAAGCTTGGAATTTAATTCGTTCTCAATCGACTTTAACACATGTTGCAGGGGGAACAACTTTACGTAAATGGTCTCGGTCGCCTGATGTGTATTGGAGAATGAGAGACTTCGGAGGCGAATCGCCTGGTTTCATGCTGAGCGCATCATTCGCCGCAATTATTTGCTGCAGCGATTATTACCTTGGAATTGAAAACAACCTTGTTCGGGAGATGTGTCTATGGGGTTTCTAATTTGTGCGATGAGATTTCTGCCACATTCAGAGCAAGCTCCCATTTGGCAGCACCGGCTTGCTCCGTGGTAGTACGATTGAGATCGCTTTTACAGGCTCCGGGGTTGCGGCATTTGTGTCGCAGCCACGCGGGACATGCATGAAGATTTGGCAAATGAGGCTGTTTTGTCAAGGGCGGTTTTACTTCCCCATGCTAGCTCGACTGCTGTGAACCACAGTGTCCACCTTGTAATCCACAGCGTGGTGGGAAAGGGACGGTGGCCGCGCGTTTATTCCTTTGTAGTGGGAGCGAACTTGCGCAAGGCCCGCCGCACTCTCCGACACACCTGAGTCCGGTGGCCAGACAGGGTCAGGACAACCGGAGACGGGGTTGGGTGTAGTGGCTGACAAGGCCAACCGGCCCGTCTACGCGTGCAACACGCGACCTGACCCCGATTTTTTGCCGGACAAAGGGTGGGCGGTTCGGATCTCCCATGAGGGTTCGATAAAAGCCACAATAGGAAGGGGTCATTGAGTCGAGCAACTTATCCCACAGAAACACAGCACTGACCACGAGGACCGAGCTGCCCATGTCATGGTAGAGGACCGCTCACCGCGCTCTTCCAACCCACGACTTCTAGTGCACTGGGGTAATTTCAAGGAGCGTTGCACTTTTTTATAGCGAGAAATGGGCTGAAAGTGGCGTGATAGTGGCTTCAGCAGTGTCAGTCTCTCCCCCCCCCCCTTTTCCACACACCAATCCGCTGCCCGAGACGGTCAGCCATCGGGTGCCGGGATTGGGCGCAAGCGGTTGAGTGAGCTCAATAGCCCGTCTGTTGGTTCCGCACGAGACATCGTTTTCACAAAGTAGGAAACAGCCGTGATCTCGCGCGCCACTGTCTCTTTGGTTGAGGTAACAAAATATCAGCCAACAACTGACAAATGCTCGTGCCACGTCTCCGGTATGGGTTTTCGACAGGAAATGTGCCTCTGCTCATCGACTGAGACGGTTGAAACAAGTTAACAGGATCGTGGTGCGCTTGACTGAGACGGGCCTTATGAGTTATCACGGTGCCGACTGGGCACTTTTGGCTTCTAGCAGCTGACGCTGGCCTTCGTTCAAATCTGGACCCCTGTAAGCTTTTCCAGCACAATGTTCGGTAACTATCTTTTGAACGGCGTGACTGCCACAGCGAGAAAGATCTTGCAAAGCATGTTCCACCTCGAGGTGAGTGCGTCCCAGCGCAGATGGACGGTCAGAGCCAGTGAAAATCAGACGGACGCTGGGACCTTCAGTTAACGCCAAGGGGTCATTCTTGTCCGGTCAACTGCCTTCACAAACGGTTTTTCCTCTGGTAGGGGGCGCTCACCGATCGTTCTTACTGATCTCACTCGTTCCGTTGTGCCTTACGGGCCCTCTCTCGAGCCCAACCGGCAGCCGCACAGCGGCGCATGATATAGGCAGCATGTTATTACCGACAAAGACAAGGGAGAGTGGAATGGCCATTTCTGACTTATTAGCCGTCTTCAGCCAGTCACACTCAACCCCGAAGCTCGGACTCGCGACCTGTTGGTTAGAAGTCCACGCCTCTAACCACCGAACCACGATCCCGTTGTCCTGTCGATTTTCGGTCGAGAATATACAATGGTACGGGGCGCTCACCGACCGAGAGAGAGAGTTCGTAAGGCACAACGGAACAAGTGAGTTCCGTAAGAACGATCGGTGAGCGCCCCCTACCATTGTATATTCCCGATAGAAACCGACGGAAACGGGCTCGTGGCCAAGTGGTTAGAGGCGTGGACTTCTAACTAACAGGTCGCGAGTTCGAGCCTCGGGTGTTCCACACTTCGGTTTTTTTTCTCTGTTCGGCGGTCTTGTGAAAATCCATCCCCTGGACTAGTAAGAGCAGGGTGCAGAAAAATCGGAATAGCCTATCTGCAACCTTATTCCGCTTGCGTATCGATTTCGAGCTGCAAAATGTCAAACTGGCTCGCCCCATGCAGGGTATATTTGTCACAAGAGGGGCAAAGAGAGTCGGTGAGAACCCAGCGGTCACTCGAAAGTAGGTCAAACATGAGTAAGTAAGAGAGGGGGGGGGACTGGTGGAACACCGGAACCACTTGCTGATTTTTTCGAGTTCTCGAACTCCTGCAAAAGTCCATCGTCAGATAGAACAGCAACAACAGAACAAGCAAAAGTTACCAGGGTAATAAACCAATCAACGGCCAGCGCTGCAGTTTTGGAAGTGACTGCACAGGGCTCTGTACATCGGCGCCAGATCGATAAGTCGTTTGACTAGGTCCTCATCCGAGTCCCAGTCCTCAATCAGCTCTTGTCAGTTCTCGTCTCCGACGTGGATAACTATCTTGGCGGTCGCCAACTTGAACTCGTGGCCCCTTTTTTTAAGGTTTATGCGGCCACTGGGGTTAATTCGTCACCCCCGTCGCACATCCAGTTTATGTTTGTTCATACGTGATCCCAGCTGGCGTTCAATCTGACTTGCGTAATTACAAGGGCAGTTTAAGCACAGGATAAGATACACTACGCCTGACTGCTCCCTCGAGTTTAATCGCCAAAGTATCTTATCAGAGACTTGTGATTGAGAGTACTGTAACTAATCGTGGTGAACGGAAACAAATGGGCCTCAGCTCGCAGGTACCCCTTTCGCCTTTATGTTACATTATTAGATTCATGAATTCTCCTTACTAAAACTGTAAGCAAAAGTTTTGCAATTTAACTATTTTCCCTTATATCTGTACCCTTTAAATGGAGTTTTCAGGGCTTCTGTCGTTTACTCCAAATATACTGACTGACCATTGACATATTGCTGCAACCCAGCACCTGTCGCAAAACCTGGGAGATGGCAATCGCGGGCGAAATATCAGCGTCAGATGTGAACTGCGACAAGAAGACTGTATCAGCCAACACAGACTGGATGCAGTGAAAAACGCAGACTGAAAAGCATAGCCGAGGCGATCTTCGGGACACCTTTTGGCACCACATGACTCTGGTGAATGACCCTGACAAAACCCATCTCTGAGAATACATTTCTGCCGAAACGATTATTCACTAGGACTTACAAACGAGGTATCGGATAGCGATCCAGAAACGGTGTGCGACGGTAACGCTCACTCTGCAATCGTGCATGATTCTATGCTGTGACATAGCCCAAACCGGAAACAAAACAGGCCGAGAATTGATTGATGCCTGGGCCTCGGATGAGAACTCGGCCAATCGATCTATCGATCTGGCGCCGGCGTATAGAACCCTGCGTAGTCACCTCTAGTCTTCCGCCGTCG